CCTGGGGATTGCCACTGTTTGTACATGTCTTATTGTTTAGGTAATGAAAAGAGCAACTGTTCTGTCCAACTATCACAAGCATCATAGGCTTCCTCTCTGTACCAGTTGATGTTCATGTATCCTGGGAAATGAATTCAAGGCTCAACCAGTTTTTAAAATTTCCTTTACTTTAACTTAACAAATGGCTACCTTGGTCTCCTCCACTAGTTCCCTCATTTCCTTCACTTGTTCCTGGTCTCCTCAAAAAAATTCAGTCTAATCCACCTTTTTTTGCAACTAAAATTATAGGTCCAATGCTCTGGGTTTTTCCCATTAATAATGAATTCACAATTTTAGCTGAAAAGGCCTTGGGTTCCCACTCGTCCCTCTCCTGGTTAAGTCTGTTACCTCCAGCTAAAGAGCAGTCCTTATTCAGGGCCATATCTATGTTGGTGAAATTATAATTCTCATTACCTGAATTAGTAAAACTACCATTCTTGGTCATGAAGTGATAAAAGGTAGAAGTAGGTCCAGGTAAGGCTACAATGTTTGAATCTTTGTCCTTACAAAAGCTATAGCACTTTTCTTAGAATAAGTACTGCTAAATATTTTGTATGCCTTTGATTAACTTTCAGAGCTCTGAAGAGGTTGCTTTTGACAATTTCATCCAGCATTATATAAGTTTTACTTTGTAGAAACTATCCACCTACTTCTTCAAAAATCTCTTCTACTTGAGAATCTCTATATTCACTGAATTTTAAATCTTAAATCAACCTTACATTTCTAGGATAAACCCTATTTATTCATAATATGTTAATTTTTTGGTGTACACTATGAAATTTGACTTGCTGAAGTTTTGCTGAGGAATTTTGCCTCAAGCTACTATTAATGCTGCCATGCTCAGAATAAACCAAACTATACTGAGATATAGTGTGTGTCAGTGCCATGGTTTGCTATTCTTCAAGTCCAGGTGCAGGTTTGTGAGTGGATGGTTCTTCAGATGATAAGGATACCCTGCCATTGAGTCACTTCTGCCTCCACGTCCTCCAAGCGGAAGCCTAAGACATTCTGGAACAGAAAGAAGCAATGCAGTATGTCTTTCTGAATCCCTAAATGATAGAATTTGTAACATAATAAAATAATTTGTTTACATGACCAGGTTTGGGGGTGCATGTGTGTGATGCATCAGGACATATCTAGAGTAAAAGTTATGCTCTTTTCTCCATCTTTGTAGAATAATAATTATTGCAATACCAAATATTTATTGAATGCTTAATATGTTAACCACTGTGTTAAGCACTTCACATATACTATCTTACTTATTGTAAAGAACAATACTTTTTATAAAATAGTTTTATTTTGCTTATATTTTATAGAGGAATAAACATCAACTTATAGAGATTATATAATTTTCAAGGTTACAAACCTAATTAGCCAGAGTTTGATTGAATAAAACAGGAAATTCTAGCAAAGTTAAGTGAAAAGGTAATTAATTCTAGCATAGCAAATAGCTTAAAGAATTGTCAGGAGGGCTGAAGAAACAGACAATTGCTGAACTTTAAGGGATGAATTCTGTATGTAACACTCCAAATCTGGGTCACCATGGCAACTAATGTGTTTGCATGACATGGAACCAACCTACTCAACCTGCTTACTCAATATAGAAGGATTTCTAGAGTTGGCTTCAAATCCTCTCCCCCTCTATACACAAAATAGAAGCTTCATGCCTTGCCTCTCTCCCCTCCTTAGCTTTGATATCTTTCATGTAAGGGCACTGAAAGGTAAAACTTAAATTGTACCCAAAATTTTAATTATAAGGGAGTCTGGGAGAGTAAGTTTAATGGCACACTAGAAGGAAGTTAGGACATATGTTAAGTAAGGAATCCATTCAGATCCTCCACACTTAGTAGTAAACAGGACTAAAATTTAAACCCAGTTTCTCCTCTAAGATTGTTTCTTGATCTATTTTCTCTTTCTCTTTCGCTCTTGTTTTCTCTTGCTCTTCACTGATTGATTGATTGTGTGTGTGCGTGTGTGTGTGTGTGTGTGTACATGCACACCTTACTGCTCCTTTAAAAGGAAAAAAAAAACTGTTCAACTCTCATTTTTCTCATTTGTTTATCATCATCATCATCCAATATCAGTATACAGAGGAAGAAGAGATACCTGTAGTAGGCATCTTTTCAACTTAACATATTCAGAAACCTTACCCAGCTACATGGGATCATAATAAATGATGGGCTTGAAGATTAGTAAAAAGAACAAAGATGAGACACTTAGGTTCCTGAGCTCCATGTCTATAGAGACAGGAAAAATAAAAGCTAGGCTACTGTACCTTAGTACACATTTGAGGGCATCTGGCAAGGGGCCAGAGTTTGAGAGCACTGTTTCCTCTGTTTCAACCCTACAGATTATGGATGTGAAGACAGGTTCAGCAAGAGCACACCATTTGAATCAAAGTTAGGAAGAGAGTCAGAAGTAAGATCTTCTGCCTCCCAGACCAAGTTTCTTTGCTTCTTCCAATCCTGCCTCCTACACCAAAATGCAGTCATGAATCTTCAGGGGTAGAGAAGGGTATTTTCATCGTACTTTTGAGCAATAAGCAAAACAAGTAATCACCATACAGGAAGCTGTTTTGAAGACTTCTCTGTAAATTTCCAGGCCACATCAATAATCTTAGATGTTAAAAATGGCACATGTGCCAAAATTATGTTTTGCTATTTTACAGAGAAATTTGCAGAACAGCATTTCCAATACACATTTTTTAAAATGCTGTGCCTTTTCTAGCTTAATCTACAGCAAACAGTGCAGCTTTGTAGCTTTGTGTGAAGTTGCACCTTAGCTCATGTTGGACTTCAAGTTAAGGTTACTAACCAAAGGAATCAAACTGCCAATATTTGCCCTGCGATAAGCTACATTCCTTGCTCTATTGCAGTTCACTTCTCTCTCCCGACCACAATACCTTTTATATGCAACTAGTAGCTTAATCTAAGTGGCTTCAAATAACCTAGTTGAGAGTTTGGGATAATTTTTTTTCCAGTTCACTTCTCTCTCCCTACCACAGTACCTTTTATATATGTTTCCTTCTCTTTCCACTATAAAACATGCTTTATTCTAAAAGGAGATCCTTCTCTTCCAGAGACTATAAAAATACTCTAATCAATACACCTAGTGTATGAGCAACACAAATACTGGAGGTAAATAATATTCCATTGAAAGCCTTGCCATGAGATTGCAGGAAAACTTCTTAGAAAAACTTCTGTTTCAGAACATGCGTCCATGAACATACTATGATGGGCACTGTAATCACAAATTACAAGCCACTGAGTGCTTTGCAATTATTTTGACAAGAAAATATTTGTATTAAGACTTGCCTTCATCTCCCCTATTTGCCAAATGGAATGCCTTCATTGTTCCAAAATGCCATGAGTACCCATAAACAATGATGATTTGAAAAGCATTTGGATGCATTTCTTGGAACCAATAACATAAGGATTTTCCCTGAATGGAGCGGTCATTATCCTTCTCAGTAAAGCTTTTTACTTCACATGTAACAACTGGTAAAGAAAATCATCATTAGGGCAAAGTTATTCCATCTTAGAGAATAAGTGAGGATAATCCTCTTCATGATAACTTAACTAAAGCCAAAGTAACTAGATTCTATTTTCACTTTTGTTTATTGTCTAGTATGATGTTAAGTAAATCTTTTCACTTTTCTCATACACTCTCTTTCTGAAACCATCTTTCTGAAAAGTTTTAATACATGGCTGTAATTGACTAGTAGCATAATAACTGGTTCAAAGGAAAACAACCATCCCAAAACAGGAACAATAAGATGGAAAACAACTAGTAGCTTAATCTACGTGATTTCAAATAACCTAGTTAATCATAGTCACATCTGACATTCAGGCATAAATAAACCTCTTCTTCCCTAGAATTGGCTTAGCCTTTCTAGATCCAGTACAAAGCACAATATCATAACCAGCATGCAGGAAGCAGGGGACAGACTGACAAACCTCGAAGGGTAAGGGATGGGGGGCTGGAAGAGATAAACCAAAGACCTTACATGTATATATGTATAACCAACGGACACAGACAGTAGTGTGGTGAAGGTGGCAAGGGAGAAGCAGAAGCAGGGAGGAGGGGTTCAATAGGGGATAAAATGGGAGACTTTCAACAATAAAGATAAAATTTTAAAATTATAAAAATTGAACAAAGTGTTTTAGATAATTTTCTATTAAACAGAAAGCATGGTATATCTTAGAAAGATTAGAAAGAGATAACAAAATTTCTCTTTATAACAATGCGTAACCTTGTGATGAATCAACATCTTACTTGATGACACTAAAGTAATAGCTTTTGCTATTCTTTAGGGAGAAATTATTCTAGATGCCTGTCATTTTTTTTACAAGTGTGCTGGAGATCTTCCAGAGGCATATAATATGACCGAACTTCTGCAAGGTCTTTTTAAAAAAAGAAAACTAGATAAAATATAAACAGCATTCACAATGTATTTGCTTCTTTGCATGCCTAAAGAAAAAAAAAAAAAAAAAAAAAAAGGACCTTCCATTGCCTGTTAAGCAAGCAGTTAAATTTATTCCGGAGACAAATCCTAACCCAGAGAAAGGTGTTCAAAGTTGGTTATCCTGACTTTCATCATCGGTACAAAATGATGCCAAGTCAAGTTTCCAAGAAGAAACTAGAGTTTTGTGTTGATGACATTAAATTTAGGGACCAGCCCTGGCCAGTTTTGCTCAGTGGTTAGAGCATCGGCCTGCGGATGCTCTCGGGTTCGGTTCACACTAAGGGCACGTACGTGAGTTGTGGTTTGTCCCTGGCCCTGGTTGGGGTCGTGGGAGTGGCAACCACTCAATGTGTCTCTCCCAGATTGACATTTCTCTCTCTCTCTTCCTCTTCCTCTCCCTCTCTCTCTCCCGCTCCCTCTATCTGAAGTAAAGATAAATGCAAAAATGTCTTCAGGTGATGATATATATATGAACCATTTTATTTATTTACTTTTTTTTCCCTGCACCATTTCCAGAGGTGCTGCAATACCGGGTCAATGTGTGGAGTGGACAGAGCAAGCTCCTATTCCATCTCCCTGCTCAAAAATCCACTTAATATATTGTCCTTGGATAGAGGACATATCAGATATTAAACTGATAAGAACAGATGCTACACTTGATCTTAGTTAAAAGGCTGAGAAGCAATATATATAGGGACCATTTTAATCTCATGATGCCCCAAATTGTGTTTTGAATAACTCCTTAACGAACTTGTATTATTTAATCTACCCAAGTTAAGTGGATATCTTGCAGTGTGGTAAAGTCCAGTATACAGATTTCCAAGGCTCCCCTGAGAAAATCCATATCAGAAATTCTAAGTTCAGACATCATCACTAACTAATAAATATTTCTGGACTGCTATTTATTTTTACATTGCTTAGAAGGGAGAATAATACTTCATATTTGAGCAACTGCGACAGCGTTTTCAATAAATAAATAAAACGATAGGTAAAAACTTGTATTGTGGAGCTCTTCCTGAAACAAAACTCAAACATCTGAACAGAAATATCATCTTAGAAAGGCCCATGAAGACTACAGTGTTTAAATAGGAAGAAAACCAATCAAAACAGCTTGTGGAAAAACAAGAGTTTATATCATCGCGATCAGTGCTTTTCCTTCTACATAATTCCTACAGAATGTATGGATTTCTACACTTACACCTCATGATACAGTCTATTTATATCTCCATTTGTAAACCTTGATAAATTTGATGAGTTTTTATAAGTTACTTTAGATTATAACAAGGGACTCTCCTGTGAAATCAGCTTGCACCATAAGAGAACTTGTGAATAGGATCACTTCTGTACAGATCAGCCCAGTTCGTTGTTCTTTCATCCATCCACTTTGAGCCATCAGAATGTGAAAACGAGTCAAGCTGTGGAACCCTTCTTTCCCTGAGTGAGGGAGAACATAAGAATCTTTATTCTTGATATCCAGTGATTCATTTATCATCATCTTTGCTGCAGGTTACTCTTTGACCTTCAGCTTGGATCCTTGTGTTTTCCTCACCGTCATAAATGCACCCCTGCCTAATATCTGGGTTGCTATCTTGGTTCTAAGAGTCCTGTTGTAAGACCCTCCTTTTGGTTCTTTGCACCAGTCCTTCCTAATGTTGGCTGAAAGTCAGAGTGGCTTTATTCATGCTACCTATGAATAAGATGTCCACAAATTCAGAATTCTCTAATGTCTTCCAATGTCTCAAGTAGAAGCTACCTTCTGTTGTGTATAAACCACCATAAAGCTTTCTTTATATAGAAATTTTTTTCAAATAATGGTTACAATTTACCAGTAATCTTTAACCCTGAGTCCAAAATTCAAAACCATAGGTAAATCAAAGTCAAATTATATTCTCATTACTGTGTTTCATATACTAGTTATCCATATTCATACACATACCTCTTTATCTTCCTTTCAATCTTCTTCTTCCTCCTCATTTTTCTTGTCTTCCTTTTCCTCCTTTTCTACCTCCTCCTCCAACTCCTTCTTTTTCTTGTAAAGCCAAAAGAAAATACGTAGAAATCCATTAGATTCAGATAGTTAGATAGTTAGTCTTCCCACAAAAAAAAACATATATGATATAATGAAAAGAACATGGGATCTGGGTTCAGAAAGACCTAGGTTTGAATCTCAAATGAGCCTCTAACATATTTTTAGCAAATTATAATATATTTCTTAGTTATTTTTCTCACATATAAAGTGGAAACAAGCATAACCATTTTTTTTTTTGCAAAGAACAAATGAAATAGAAGCCACAATATTTATAACATAGTATCTGGCATAAAGTAGGCGCTTGGTCAATTTTTATTCTCTCCTTTTCTTAATCTCCTTGTCTTTAATAATTAGATATAGTAATAAATCATTACATGCATACTTCATTTATTTATGCTAATCGCTTGGCCTTTATATTTTCTGATAGACCCAAAGACACATAAATTACTAGGTACATACAGGGAAAATACCCATTACTATAATACTGTATATTGTTGAGTATATTTTCTGAAAAGTGGGCGCTAGCATTAGGTTTCAGCCAATAAGGAGGTGTAAAACAGATGGTTCTCTACACACTCTACTGATGAGCACTACTATTCTATCATATGGCTGGGTTTTAGACAAAATTTTGGATACTCTACTTTTCTAATATGAGTATGATCAGAAATGTATACTAGTGTTATTCAATGGAGGCTCCTCTCTTTCTTATATTTGTTGGCATTCAACTAGTAATATTGATCCATAATAGCTGACTAGTAATGTACAAATGATAATGCCAACGAATGAAAATAAAACACAACAAGAATTAGAGATTCTCAAGGTGTGCTCAATAAACTATCCTAAGAAGTAGATGACAAAAGTCAGCAGGTAAATTGAGATTGTTGAAGGTTTTCTGTACCTACTACTATGGATGAGCTCTCTGTGTTCTCTTAAGTCAATTCATTCACTTTTACACGAGATCCTACCCATTCCCCACACCAAAGGACATTACTCAGCAGTTGTCCTTTCTGTCATCTACAACATTGACTTTTTTACTTGTTCAATTGTCTGCCTTACCACACAAATATGCTCTTTTTTCTCCCCCCTTCAAAACAAAACAAAAATCATTCTCTTATTCCGGTGTTCCCCAAGAACAGTTCACTCTTTACAGGAAAACTGTTCTAAAGACCTGTCTACATCTATCGTTTTCAAATCCTTTCCTTCCTCAGTCTCTTAAACACAACCCAATCATACTTTTGCCCACACTATTACAATGAAATAGCTCTAATTCAACTCTTTAGTGGCATCCTCATTAGGAACAACTGATAAACTTTCAGTCTTCATTTACTTCAGCTATCATTTCTACCATCCTTGATTTCCACTTGGTTTCCAGGACACAATTCTCTTATTTTACTCCTATGCCTCTGGTCATGCTTTCTCATTTTCCTTTACTGGACTTTTTTCTTCCCCACTGTCCTCTTAATATTGAAATACCAGTTGGTTTGCAAATTGGCCCCCATACTCATGCAGAGCAAGAAGAAATAGAAGAACAGACAGGCCACTTCAGATTAGTGGTGGAAGGTTTAATGAGCAAGGGAATTTACATATGAGGCTTGTCTTGGGCGGCAGCAAGATGAGTAGCTCTCTGTGGCCATCCACCAGACTCACAGGCTTTAACTGGGTTCAGTCATGTAGGCAGTCAAGATAGTCTCCACAACACATTACCCTCACAAGGTCATGTCCTTGAAAATGGCTTCCACTGGGGAAACTATGAGCAGAACATACATTCCAAGGACAGGGGAGGGGGTGAGGAGCTTGCCTGGGTCCAGCTTTCAGGTCAACCAGCCGTCAAGTCCTCCAGGACCCCAATAACACCTCAGGATTTAGTTGTAATTATTTCCTCTTTTTTTGTGTAAACTCACTATCTTTGCACTCACATCTACTTTCATACCTCTAAATGCTTTCTGAATGGTAACAAGTCCCATATTTGCATCTAGCTCAGAACTCTCTTCTGAAGTGTAGATACTTCTATCCAACCACTTCCTCAAAACCAGTAATTAATAGATATCTCAAACCTTAGTAATTCCAGGACTGGATTCTTTATTTAGCCCCACCACGCTTGTTTAATTTGCTGTTTTCTCCATCCAGTTATGAAGTACAAAAATGTGGAGTCATCTTTACCTTCTTTCACATTCCACATTCATTTTTTTATGAAATAATTGCCGGTTCTCTTTTCAATGTGTATAAAGTATCATCCAACAATTTCTCAGCACCTCCACTGTTACCACCCTGGTAGCATCTCTTGCCTGCAAATAACTGTAGGCACCCTGTAACCACCCTGGTAGCATCTCTGGCCTGCAAATAGCATCATCTCTTGCCTGCAAATAACTGTAGGAATGATCTCCCTATGGCTACATTTGACCTTCTACAGTTTCTTGTCACACAGCAGCCAGAGGGATATTTTTAAAATTTGACAGACTGTGTCACTCCTCTGCTTAAAACGTTGTAATGGGACCTGATACCATTGAGATAAATGCCAAGTTCTTACAATGAATCAAAAGACCTCATAGGATCTGGCTTCCTGGTTCTTTGTTAAGGTCCTTATAGACTGTCTTCCTTGCTCAGTCCACACCAGACATTCTAACCACTCTGGTATTCCTTACCCACTACAGGTACACTCTTACTTTACTCCTAGAATACTCTTTCCCCAGGCATCCATATGCCTACTCCCCTACTTCCTTCAAATCATTGTTCAAATGTCACCTTCTCAGTGTGGCTTACCCTTACCATGGTACTTAAAATTTCATCTTACCACAAGACCCACTTTCCTTAGCCTCCTTACCCTACTCCACTTTTTCTTTTTCCACAGCACCTACGTTACATAAAATTTCCTTATTTACTATGCTATGTTTATTGGCTATCTCTACTTCTTGAAAAGAAGTCCATAAGGACAGAAATTGTTCTGTTCTTTTTACTGATACAACCCAAGTAACTAGTGTAGCTTACATATAGTAGAGATGCAATCTTTGTCTAATGAATAAATGGCTGTTGGAATATATGTGAGTAGACACAGCTAAAACAGAGTCCTCTAACTTGCATGGCTCAGTGAGAAAGGTACTGAGAAGAGCATCACTTGCCTTGTAAGGAGGCAGAGAGGCAGCTGCTTACAGGATTTGAAATAAGAGACTTTATAAAGACCATATAGCTATCAGATCTCGAAAACTTGGTCTAAGGGTTCTCTGGATGCATAAATGTTCCCAGAAATTACAACTCAATAAAACTGGAGGTTCCTAAGACACACCAGTTACTTATTAAACCAGAGTCTCTGATTTAGGGTGCAGAAATCTGTACCTTAACAACCTTTTTAGTGATGCTTATGTACCCTAATCTTTTAGAAGTACAGTACTGCCTTGACTGCTTACAAATAATACTTCACTGGCATATATAAATTACAGTTTGAGGAATGATAAAAAAAAAAAAAAAGGTGTCTGCTTGGGTGTGAAATAATACGAGAGAAGAAAATAATATCTGAGTGAAAATGCCTGATCAAAAAAAGCAATCACACAGTAAGAGCCACAAAGACAACCTATTTTACAGGTTTGTTCTTCCTATCAGAAGCACAGCTGAGGGCAGTAGAAGAGAGATTGGAATTTGTGGAAAATCAGTATCTCAGGAAAC